AAAAGCAAACAAAATACGTAAAACATCCTCTTCTATGCAACACTATTTTCAGTAATAATTATGTTTTAGATTAGATATCTAGCTTTGAAAATTAAAAGAACATGCATTTCAATTTTGAGGATATTGTTTGAATTCAAAGATTTCATGTAAGAACTAAAATAATCATTTTCCAAGTAAAAATACTACTCCTCTCAGGTTGCACTCTACTTTGCTATTTGACTGTGGCTCAAATTACAGCAGGCAAAAAAAAGCAAACACAAATATGCATATACATGTATAATAGCTTGTCAGAAATATGCAGTATGTGCAAAGTCAGACATCAAAACTTTTGAATTAATTCATTTCTCTAAGGAGCCCCACCTTGTTTAGGTCAAACCAGATTCCTCCCCCCCACCCCACCCCCCTATCCCCTGGTACTGGGGATTGAACTCAGGACCTTGCGCTTGCAAGGTAAACCAGATTCCTGAATGGCCAACAGGGAGATGAGTTAGCTCCTCTGCTGTCTCACTTTCCCTTTGTGGGGACAGACTTCCAGTGTGGTCTGTTCCAACATAGCTCTCCAGGTCCTTCAAGCAAGTGACCTGGAGCCCAGGTGAGCGAGGCCTGGACACTTCCGGCCTACAGAGAGCCGTCCACCGTGGGAGTCACAATGGGCCATTCTTTGGCCCCTCTTTGGACTGGTCTAAGATTCCTCCCCTGTCGGAGGGCGATCAATCCTCCAACTGCCTAGAAAGGGGGATGACGAGGGCTAAAGAAAAAAGACAATAGGGACTTGCGTAATTTCCAAGTATACAGAGGGCTAGGAGGTCAGGGCCTCAGAGCAGGCAAAGACAAAGACACTCCGAGAGCTTGCCACTATTTATTGTGTTCACAGGGAGTATCAGAGGACTCAGTGGGTGGTGATAATCTAAATTGATGAGGATCTCATAATCGAGGATATATCAGATGACTCAGAGGATAGCAGTAATCCTATGACAATGAGGGTCTTATGCTGATGAGGAGCTTATGTTTATTAGGACGGTGAGCTGAGCAAAATGTTCTTACAACAGTAGGTGGGATGAGTTAAGCTGATAAGGAATTTGTCCCTCCCCAGGTGAAACCTTTCTCTATTTGTATTACTTTTCTCTCATAGAAGCAGGATGTCTTCAGCTGATGCAACTTTGCTCTTGAGCATCACAGCATCACCGACCATTGAGGCCTTAGCTGTGACCAGAGGCAAAACGGAGTTATGTTTCCACATGCCATAGCTGGCCCACAGACAAAAAGACTAAGCCTGGGCCAGGGATTTAGCTCAGTGGCACCATACCTGCCTGCTGAGTGCAAGGTCCTGAGTTTGATTCTTGGTACCACCCCCAAAAAAGACTAGAACTCAGACAGCCCTAATCATAATTTAATTGTGAGATGATCCCCCCCCCCCAAATTATGTAGAATGGTTCCCAGCACTCCCCTTCCCCAGCAGCTAATGCTGGGCTCCTTCTACCCCTGCTCTGCTCCCCACAATCACAGACCAAACTTCTGTCCATATGGACTTGTCTTTTCTGGACTGTCAAGTAAATGGAATCACAGAAGAGGTAGCCTCTTGTGCCTTGCTACTTCCATTTTGCCTGAGATGTTTGAGATTCATTCACGATGCTGTGAACACTACTACTGAGTAGTATTCCATAGTGGGGGGTGGGGGTGGGAACCATTCGGACACCATCTTGGGAGCCAAGAAAGAAACAAACCAACTTTGACCAAACTGACCCTGAGCTGCTTAAGTTTACTAGAACGAACTTCATTGAATTTTCTCCCACTGGGCCAGTTAGGTCCCGAATGACAGAGTTTGTCATTACAAAGGGATGGACAGATACGGTGTCACTTCCTGCATCCCCAAATCTGCAGCCTGTGACACTCAAGTTCACTTTTTGTCTTTGTTTCAGTTTGGACAATATGACCCCAGTTGGCCTGAAAGTGAGTGAGGGCCTGGCTCGAAGTCCTTCTCCCCAGCCTTTGTGACACCATGCTGAGTCACAGAGGTCCTGCCTGTCCCTGAGAGAAGCCCTGGCCCCTTTCCTGGTGATGCCCTTGCCCCCTGGGCAGAGTTTTGCTCTGGTAGGGCTGATGAGGAAAGATGGAGTTTCTTGGAACTACTCAGACTGCCAGTTACTGTGGCCCCAAGAAAGGCTGTGACTCAACCCAGAGGACCTCTGCTGTGCAGACTCCTGTGATCCAGGAGTGCTACCAGCCCTATCACCTGCCTGGGTACCGCTACCTCAACTCATGGAGACCCGGCCTCTTCTACAAGATTTCCACGGCCCAGACCTGTCCCAATGAGTGTCGCAGCGGCGCTCTGCATCCACCCACTGTCCTGCCCACACTCCGCTCTGCGCTCTTCTGTCGCTACAGCCCCCATGACTGGCACCAGTCCAACCAGCTACAGATCCGTGCGGCCGAGGCCTCACGGCTATGGGCCAACCGCCTGACAGGTGATTCCATGCAGCTCATGCAGGACAAGGAGCAGCTAACACGCCAGATGCAAGAGGGAACCTCCTGGAACCTGGGCCAGAGGCTGTTGGACATCAGCTTCTGGAAGTCTGAGTTATGCTACGAGCTGGATCAGCTGCTAGCTGAGAACCGCAGCCTGGAGACCATCAAGAGGCGGCTGGAGTGTGCGGCTGAGGAGGTGAATTGTCCCCTGAAGGTCAGTGCCTGTGTCCTGGCTGTGATGTGATTAAAGATCAAGGTGACAGGCACACTACAGGTCTCTGAGCTGCATCGTGCTGTATGGTCAGATGTTTAAGGTAAAAGTGTAATCTTAGTCGACTCAGGATCTCAAGTGAGGGCTTCCCAGATTGAATCCAACTTGTCTGTCCTTTGGTTAGGGGTTGCAACCAGACACTATGCACATGCCTGTGCACATGTGTTATAGTCCTTAGAAGACATACTTAAAATAACTGCTTTATTTTTCTCTGTAACACTTGCCATCTTCTAACATACTCTAGCTTATTTATAAATTGTTTTTTCTACCTTTGCTCAAATATAGACTCACTGGGGCAGAGACTTTTGTCTGTTTTATCACTGACATATTCAGGACTGATATTCTGCTCACTGCACCTGTTTGTCTATGTGGGTCCTCAGTAACCGTGTTGTGGTGCTGATGGACAGTCTACACCAATGTTTTGAATGTGCTCCCAAGTCTAGGGGACAACAAACATTTGTTAGACTTCATGTAGACATTCTTTTTTTTTTTGGTCCCTCAGTACTGTGGATTGAACCCTGAACCTTCACACTGAGCTACTTCTGCAGCCTTCTAAGATTTTTCTTTTGAGACTTCCTTGGTGTCCCAGGTTCTACTCATGCTGGGATCAGTTAGAATTGCTTTTGGCTGCATGTAACAGATACACGATGACTGTGGCTTAGCCACACAGGAATTTATTTTTCCATCATAATAAGAATTCCAGACAGAGGCAGATGAGGCTGCTGCATCCTCAACTTGATGCCCAGAGGGACCAGGCTCCTATCTTTCCATTCTGGCATCCATAGCCTGTGGCTTTTGTCCTACTGCTTACAAGGAGGTTTCATATTTCATATTACAAGTGCCAGCAGGCAAGGAGCATTTCCCTATTCTCATTCGAGGCAGGAAGTGGGGTAGGGCATAGGGCAAGCAGTGTCAACTGTGTCTGTCTCTGGATATCAGAGAATATCTATTTTTCCAGAAGGCCCAGCCTGTGTTTCCCTTTTTAGTTCATTTGCAAGAACTCACAGGGGCTCCCTGGCTGCAGAGAGGTTTGGGTAAGCAAATGTTTTTCTCTGAAACCTGGAGAAAGTTGTGGAAGGAGTCAAATGGACATTGGATAGGAAACCAGCCACATCTGCCTCGTCCTGTGAAAACTAATCTTGGCCATATGGGAGAAGGTTCTGTCGTCCCTGGAGTGTGTGGGGGACTCAAGACCTCCTGCCTGGAAGCCTCCTCCAGCTGCTGCTGCTCCATGCTGTGTGGAGAGTCCAGTAGGAGAGTGGGAGACACGGCCTCGGTTCCCATCACTGTGGGATTCCCAGACTCGCTGGGGGAGGGAGTCCCCAGCTTTCCTCGCCCCCTCAGTGTCCCTTGGCAGGGGAAGGGGCAGGGCAGCTTCTCAGAACCTTGCAGCAGTAGCACCTAAGTGGACTGTTCTCCCTTCCCACTCTGACTCCCCAGAGTGCCTGGAAAGCCCAGCTCTGCCTGATCACATGTGGCCTCCTTTGATCAGCCACATGGTGGCACAGCGGCCGGAGATGCCTCAGTTCCACCCACTTCTCTCCTCTCCTAGTCTTACTCCTCTGTCTAGGTGCCTCTCACTGGACAGTGGTGACCACCTCTTCCCCAGGCTCCCAGCCTCTCCTCCCTCCAACCCGCCCCCAGCAGCAGGGGTGATTTTAAACATCAAACTAGATCTTGACATACCCTCGCTGGCTCCCTCAATGGCTTCCCAAATATAACAACTTAATTTGTGAATTCCTCTGTCCCACCCCTGTAACTCCGCCTGTGCTATTGCTCTGGCCTCACTTTCCCCACTCCACTCTCCGAGGCTTTCTGCGGTTCCTCCACTGACCTCAGGGCCTTCCCACCTGTGCTTCCCCTTCCTGCTCCTTATTCCCACACACCTCTTGCACCTCTGCTGCTTATGATTCAAGTCTTGGTCTGTTTCCTCCTAGAGAAGTCCTCCCTGACCACCCTGCCAGTTACTTCCTGCCTACATACAGAATCATGATTATTTTCACTGCAGCCCTTTTCACAGAAATGGTCGTGTTTCCTCTGTTGGAACGCAGGCTGCATGAGAGCAGGGACCCTGTCTGTCTGCTTCACGGTGTATCCCCAGCACTGCCCTCAAGCACGACTCCGAGGAAGGGCTCCCAGGCTCTTGGAGAGCCAGTCAGTGAATCCCTCGCCTTTCCAGGGTCCCAGGTGCATTTGCTGCCTGACATCCCAGGTTGCCTCCTGCCCCTTGCTCTTTGTGACGTCACAGGCTGGTGGCCAATTACCATTCTGTTGCTAGCAGAGCAGGCCTTTCTCAAGTCTCCTCTTCTGCTCAGCTGAGGTCCGTAACGGAGTTGGAAGGCCAGCTTGCCTGGGTCTCATTGCGCTCTGACCACTTTCCAAAGCTCCCCCACCATCCAGAGATCTCCAAAGAGGAACTTCCACATATATTCATTTTGAAGACTTTTGGACTGTTCTGGGGGCTTTGCACTTATCAAGATGACACAGTCTGCACATTGAATCTGAGAGACACGCACCAAGTTTGCATCCATCTGCAGATGAGGAAACTAAGGGTCAGAGAGGTTAAGTGAGAGGCCCACATGCACGCAATAGGAGATGGCTAAGCCTGGATTTGAACCCAGGAGACAGCCAGCGTGGGGGACAGCAGCTGGTACTCTCACCTGAAATGACATTGGAGGTTTGCTCTATTTATTGTTATAATTTGAGAAGGCTTGGGCGGTTTATGGAGATTATAGGAAGGAGTGTTAGTCTCCACTCCAGTCATAACTGGTTCCCAGGACAGTGCCTTATCCTGCTTCTGCATATGGCCTGCATCTCCCAGTGCATTGGCCAGTGCATCTCACAGCCCCCGCCAAGGGTGTAGGGGAGGCAGAAGCTCAACAAAAGTGCAGAGATGAGGCCACATGAAGCAGCCAGAGGAAAGGACAGATTATGGCAAAGGTAGACTTGAGCCACCTGCACCCAGGTCCCAGAGACAGCTGCAGGGAGAGCGTACATTCTGGCACTGCTTCCTACAGGTGGCCCTGGAGTGTCTGTACCATCGGGAGAAAAGGATCGGGATAGACCTGGTCCATGACAATGTGGAAAAGAACCTTATCCGGGTAAGGTGTCTCCTGGGCCTGCCCTGTCCCCTGAGAGGAAGGCAGGAAGGGCCAGCTGGTCAGAAAGGTCCTGAGGTTCCCATTGGGAAGTTAGGGTTCAGAAAACATGGTGGAGATCGGGGTGGGGGGCCAGTGAAGAACAGGGAGAAATGGAGTTATCTAACCTTCAGTTTTGTCATTTCCAAAATGGGCATAATAATGATACCACCACCAATAATAAAAGCCATCTACCATACCACTTTGTATGCACTGTTCAATTTAATGAATACGTATATATTTTGTGAGATATATAGATAGATATATCTATATATAGATATTTGGCACATAGTAGGTGCTGAATTTTCTTTTAATCTGTAAGTGTATAAAGAGAAATGACTCCACAATTGACACTTAGCTGTGTTGCCCTGCAATTTGTGGACTGAGACAGGAACCCAACCCTGGCCTTTCACCGGGTGGAGGTCAAGGGTGGGCAGTGGGAGGCAGGGATGAAGGTTCTGACCTGTGAGCTTTTGACCCATGTCCTCTCTTTCTGATGTTTTTCATTTCAGGAAGTAGATTTGCTAAAATCTTGCCAAGAACGGATGAGACAGATAGCTCAAAGAGTTCATATCCAGATGCGGTAATGGATTCTTTCCGTCCCAGCCCCTTGGGGTTTGTTTTGTGATTTCTGGGTTTCAGGAGTAACCCAGATGGGCCCACTTGTCACGGGGTGGTTCCTTTGACTAGTGCTGTGCTGCTAAATGTTTAGCAACGAGTTCTCAGGAAAAACAACAACAAAAAGAAAGTCCTAATGTGTAGGATTTGTTGATTTCTGTGGGGTAAATGCTGCCACGGCGGCTGAATTCAGGGTACCAAAAGGATGCTCCTGAGATGGGCCCCAGCGATCCCCCTGAGCAGCATATCACTGGTTTCTCTTGGTTGCCACAGGACCTGGCCAAAGGCACTGGGCCTTCCTGAGGCCCCACTTTGTCGGTGGCTTCTCCTGGCAGGTTTTGAACCTGGAGAAATGGCCAAGGGTGGGTGGGATTAGGCAACAAAGTGAGGGATCAGGGTGCCCCAGAAGGGACCTGGTGGATGCCTTGAGCTAGGAGTCTTCAAAAGCAATCAACTTTTTTGTTCTTGGAAGATGATGTAAGTAGTATCATGGCGAGCCAGGGGGCCTCTCTTATAATTAAAGGGAGAACTGAGTTTTAAGGGCTTGGGGCCCCCAACTCCCCAAAGGTGGCCTCCCCACCCACCTGGCCCTGCAGCCGGGCGCACCTTTAACTCTCTCAGGGCACGCTGCTCTGCTGGTTTTCCCTCTTCACTGCCTCTACAGGGGCTGCTGCAACCTTGCCAGGGCTGCCTTTCCTGCTGGGCGGTGGACAGGGGCAGTCTGGCGGGGTGCAGAGGGCTCAGCCAGCATGCAGATGGGCTCTGGGAGCTGGAGTCCTGGCTGGCTTGGCCCAGAAACAGCAGTCGCCTCCTCCTCCAGGGCCCTTCCACTCTCCTGAGGGGTCAGAACTGGGAGTCGGGTGAAAGTGAGTCGCCCAGGATAAGACAGGGAAAGACATTGCAGAAAAGCCACCTGAAGACCAAAGGGCATGGTCAGGGGCAGACAGGCTGGGGCGACCCAGAGGGACATCAGAGGTGAGGGGTGCAGGAAAGAGTCCCATACAAAGTGACAGTGGAAAGGAGAAGAGCAGGGGAGGGCGTCTGGCTCAGTGTCAACTACTTACCTAGCATCATGAGGCCCTGGGTTCTAGCACCACACTGGGAGGGCACGAGGACGAAAGCAGAATTGAGTTCAGTTATTCATATGTCATGATTTTGGGCCATTCCACCCACCACCTGGACTATTGATTTCCTACTGTTTGTTTATAAATTTATTTATTTAAAAAATGGCCAGGGGTGTGGCTCAATGGTGGAGCACTTATGTAGCATGCACAAGGTCCTGAATTCAATCCCCAGTACCAACAACAACAAAAAAGCAACCCCGGGGCCGGGGATTTAGCTCAGTGGTTTCGTCGCCTACTGTGCAAGCGCAAGGACCCGAGTTCAATCCCCGGTACCAAAAAAAAAAAAGCAACCCCAAACCAAAAAAGTAAACAAAAACAAAAACGTCATAGATTGTTTTTTTTGGTACCAGGAACTCGGGACCTTGTGCTTTCCAGGCAGGGGGTGGAACCTTTGACCTAAATCCCCGACCCCAAAACAAAAACTTCAATACTTGTATTTAAACAAGCAAATTTTAACAAAGGGAAAGCATTGAGTAGCCAATGTTTTTGCTTTGTTGTATTTTTCCTGTACTTAATCCCCACCACCACCAGGGATGGAACTTAGGACCTTGTGTTTATGAGGCAGGTGAAGTGCCACTGAGCTGACTCCCCGGCCCTGCACGCAATTTATTAAAAGTCTGCTTATTCACTTTTTAATTGATAAATAAAAAGTATATTTATCATGCACACTGTAATGTTTTGAAATATCTGTATATTATAGAAAGGCTTAATTAAGATGATTAACATATACATTACCTCACATACTTACTTTTGTGGTAAGACCTCTTAAAATCTACTGCATATGTTTTTGTTTTTTGGGGTTTTTTTTTTTGACACTGGGGATCAAACTTGGGTCTTTGGGCTTGCCGGGCAGGTGGCAGAACCACTGAGCTAAATCCCTGGCCCTACTGCATATGGTTTTTAAGAATACAATGCATTGTTACTAACTATGTCACAACATTGTTACAATAGTTCTCTTGAATTTATTTCTTCTAACTGAACTTCTTATACCTTGATCAACAGCAACCCTGTCCCCAGCCCCTGGTAACCACCATTCTACCCTTTGCTTCTATGGATTAAATTCTTTGAGATTCCATATAATTGAGCCCCTGTGGTATCTTCCTGTACCTGGATTATTTCACTTAACAGTGTCCTCTGGTGCCATTGATGTTGTCTCAAATGGCAGGATTTCATTCTGTCTTTAAGGCTGAAAAGTATTCCATTGTGTATACATTGGACATTTGCTCCCTCCTTCAGTCTGAGGACACTTAGGTTGATTCCACATCTTAGCTGTCGTGAACAGTGCTATAATGAGCACGGGATGCAGACAACCCTTCAACATCCCGATTCCATTTCCTTTGGATATATACCCAGTAGTGGGACTGCTGCATCATGTGCTATTTTTAAATTTTTGAGGGGCCGGGATTTAGCTCAGTGGTTCTGCCTCCTGCCTCGCAGGTGCAAGGACCCGAGTTCGATCCCTGGTGCCCCCCCCAAAAAAAGTGGCATAAATTTTTGAGGAACCTCCATACTCTTTTCCATAGTGCTTGTCCTAATTTACATCACCACCAACAGCATGCAAAGGTTCCCCCTTTCTCCGTGTCCTCACTAACACTTGTTATCTTTCATCTGTTTGATAACAACTATTCTAAGTCATGAGGTAATACCTCATTATAGTTTTAATTTACATTTCTCTGATAATTTAGTGATGCTGAGTATTGTTTCACAAGCCTTTGGCCATTTGTACGATTTCTTTTTTTTTTGTTTGGTACCGGGGATCGAACTCGGGACCTTGTGCTTGAGCGGCAGGGGCCAGAACCACTGAGCTAAATCCCCGGCCCTTGTACGATTTCTTTTGAGAAATGCCTATTAAGATCCTTTGTCATTTATAAAATCAGGTTGTTTGCTTGCTATTGAGTTGAGTTCCTTGTATGTTTTGGATATTGACCCTTTATAAGGTATGTGGTTTACAAATGTCTTTTCCCATTCTTTAGGTTTTCTCTTTGCTCTGTTCACTGATTTCTTTGCTGTGCAGAACATTTTTGTTTGATGTAATCTCATTTGTCTATTTTTTTTTTATTGTTTGTGCTGTCACACACACACACACACACACACACAAAACTCAGAACAATGCCATGGAGATTCTCCCTACATTTTCTTCTAGTAGCTTTGCAGTTTCACATCTTAAGTCTTTAATCCATTTTGAGTTGATTCTTTGTATATGATATGAGCTAGGGACCTAACTTTGTTCTTTTCCATGTGGATAACTGGTTGTAAAACTGTTTATTGAAGAGTCTGTCCTATCCCCATTGTGTGTTCTTGGTACTTTTGTTTAAAATCAACTGACCATAAATCCGTCAGTTTATTTCTGGACTCTCTTCTGTTCTTTCTTGCTCTTAATTTTGTGATCTCCTATTTATGGCAAGAGACACCCAGTTCCCACCTGTGGCCGACATAGGGATGCTAATCCACGTGGTGCTAGAGTGACAGAGTGGCTGAGGTTTGGGAAAGGGGACAGTTCGAACTGGAACTGGCAAAGTGAACAAAAGCCCAGGCTTGAAGCTAGGGAGCTGGCCCCTGGAAGAGTAATGGAAAAGACTGTGGTGGGGAGCCTCGTGTGCACCCCCAGACAGTGGAACAGGAGCTGGGGGAACTGGAAGAACTGAGACAGATGGAGACTGGGACACACAGAATGAGCACTGGTGTCCAGAGGGACACAGAGACACAAAGAAAGACAGAGATAGGGAGCAGAGACACAGACATGTCAGACAGAGAAAACAAGAGTGAGAGAGAAAAGGAGCTGGAGAGGAGCAGACATAGAGAAAGAGGAAAAGAGAGGGTGATGCTGGGACAGAGACAAAGAGCAACGGAGGTAGAGGGGTAAAGAGAGAGGCGAGACAAGCAGAGCCAGTAGAGGAGAGGGTAGCAGGTGGTGCCACTCCTCTTTGCAGGGACAGAAGCCAAGCTACTCAGGACAGAGGGAGTTTGTTTTGGGACATTGGCTTGTTGCTGAGAGAGGATATCCATCACCTCTAGGGCAGCACCTCAAGCTGCTGGAAGGATTGAGATTATTCTAATTAACCTGGAACTTTAGCAGCTCCTTAGCTGGCAGGCTCAGTGTGTGCTCCCTCCTGGGGCAGCTCCACTGCTGACCTGTGCAGGTGGCTGCCCTCAGACCAGCGAATGCTGGGCTGTTGGCTGTGGGCGCTGCTGAAGCCTCACATCTGGGGAGGGAAGTGTCCTCACCCTGCTAGATGTCCCAGTGGAGCAGAAAGGCTCTTCCTGGCCCTGGAGGAACCCAGCTGGGGCCCTCCCTGGTGGGCTGACACAGGGTGAGCTTGGCACTGGCTGGGCCATCCATCTTCTGCTAAGTAGGGGAGACAGGGGCTGCTTCTCCTCCCCAGGCCTCATTAGCAAGGGCCAGGCAGCTGGAGCAGCTGGATTGGAGGCCCCAGGTTATCAACTAATGCACTGACATGTTTGCTCTCCACGTTCTGATCTTCCTCACTTTTCAGCTCATTAGACAGGATGGGGCCCATTTTCTCCACAGCTCTGCCCATTTGGATCCTGATAGGTGGGAACCCACTGTCAGGATCTTATTTCCTTGTTCTTGGATTGCCAAAACTCCTCACCAGCAGCCAGATATCCATAGCACAGAAAAAAAGAGACTAAGAGAGAAGCAAATAGAGCAGAAGAAGGGGGAGATACAGACAGATGCAGAAGCCCTGAGATGGAGAAAAACCAAGACAGAAGAGCCAGAGACAAAGATTAGAGAGCTGGAGAGAGGCAGAGACACAGGGAGGGAGGGGAGACAGAGACTGAGGAAAGGCAGAGAGGCTTTCTATTAATAGTTACAGGTATTATTTTCTTTTAAAGACAGGAATATAAATTTTCCTTTTAAAACACATTTGTTTATGTTTTTCAAGTGACTTGAAAAAAAAAGGTAAATAATAGTACAGATACTCTGTTATTTGGCAAGGATGTGAATGTGATTGTCGAAAGTCTGCAGTTCGGTGAATGGTGGCCTTGTTAAGATTTGTAGCTAAAATAGATATCTGCTGTCTAGGCTCAGGCCCCACCCCTCCTGTCTTCAACTCTCCTTGCCCTAGTCCCTGACCACCAGTGTCTGACCCCGCCCAATTCCTGGCCCCGCCCAATCCCTGACCCCACCCAGCCCCCACTCAGCCCATCCCTGGCTCCACCTGCCTTAATGAGCTGCTTACTGGTCTGTGAAACTTGGGTATTTCTAGCATCTCAGCTTTTGCACTGTGATGTCCTCAGCATGGAATTCTCATTCCTCTATGCAGCTTTGTCCATGATATCTACTCCTATGTGTTATGAAAAATCCAGCTTAGACACCTCCTCAGGAAGCCCTCCCAGATTACTCTCCCACCCTGAGTTCGTGGTTTCTTCCTCAGTGTTACTTTACACTCTTTAAACACTTCTCCTGTTTCCATTACTACTCTGTACTATATTTACTTTTGCTGCATTTTATATACAAATCTAAGTAACTTGAAGGTAGTGACTGAGTCTTATTTCTGTCTTATCCCTCTGTGCTCAGCACAGAATCATTCACAATGATTGATTTGTGAAATGATTTGACTTGATGCAAGGTTTGCTCAAGGGGTATATTCATATCCTCTAAATTGTGTCTGTGAACAGCTGAGGGGCAAATCCGGCCCCCTATCTGTTTTTATAAATAAAGTTTTATTGAAATAAAGCCATGCCCATGCATTATTATCTGTGACTATTTCTGTGCATGCTGAGTCATTGCAGCAGAGATCACAGGACAGACAAAGCCTACAGTGATGACGATCTGGCCATCCACAGTAGATGCATACCCACCTCTGCACTAAAAGATGTCTGTTTGGACTGGGGGAGGTTTGTAAGTGGGGTGTCTCCGGGTGCATGGTGGGAAGGCTGAACTGGGAAGCAAGCAAGAAGCTCTGGGGTGGACAGAGCACCTTCCTGGAGTCCAAGGATTAGGTGTGCAATCCTGGCTCTGCTCCCTCCCCTGTGTGACCTTAGGTCCGGGCTGGGTTAATTGCACACTAGGGACAAATCCTTCCTCCCTGCAGGGATAACTGAGATGCTCAGCACGCTCTGGAGAGGGACCTCGAGGACAAAAACTCAGCCCAGTGCATCGATGAGAAGTGCTTTAACCTGAGAAACACGTCGGACTGCATCAGCTACTTCCACGGCATGGAGAAAGTTGATGGCACGTAAGCACCCAGCACGCTGTCCAAAGGGAGTGAGGGTTCTCGCTCCTGCCAAGGAGTGACAGAGGGTGTCACATGCCAGCCAAGAGAGAGGCAGTGTGACTAAATGGGTGCCCTCTGTTGCAAGCACCAAAATCCACATCTGGCCAATTTAGGACAAAACGGAATGAATTCACCTGAAGCCTGTGGAGTGCCACAGACTCAAGGGGAGGCCAGAAGAGAAGGTTCTGGCAGTTTGGACCAGCCAGGGAGTGGGAGCTGGTCAACCATGTTATCACACTGCCACTATCTTTCCATTCTTGGTCTACTTCGCTCACGATCCAAATTGCAGAAAAGAAGGAATATATGATTGGCTTAATGGGGTCATGTGGCCACAGCCACTTAGCCAGGGCCTGCTGGCATGCCTCCATTGGCAATTCCACCAGACAGAGCAAAATGGCTGCAACCAGAGGGAGCAGGAATTCCAGCAGGGTAGGAAGAGCCAACTGAGGCCCACTGGTGGTGACAGGGTTAAAAGAGTGGATTCTGCAGGCAGGGTGCATAGCTTCACAAGCCACAGTGGGATGACGTCTGGGGTAATGAGGGCTGGAGAAGAGAGACAGAGAAGGAGAGAGAGGAGAGAGACAGACTCTGGGCATAGGCAGAGGGGTGGGTCTATCTTGGTTCCACCTCCACCTCACTTTTTTTCATCTCTCTTACATAGCATCATGTTTGGCACATGTAAGTATATGATAAATATTTGTTGAATGAAAGAATGAACGAAAGGAATAAGAGAGGGAACAAAGGGGCTAGAGGAAGGGAGGGAGGAGAGAAGGAAGGAAAGAATGAAGTTCCTTGACAGCAGTCTCTTTGGCCCAAGCCTGGGGTCGCTCACTTTCTGGATCTGAACAAATGTGGAAGTGTTGAGATGGCCCTTTGCGGTTTCCAGCAGTGATGACTTCTGGCAAATCCCCCCAGGGCACTAGCAAGGGGACCAAGACTTTGGGGGCCCAGCTCCCGGTAGCTGCCCATCAGCATGGGGACTCCAGGGGGTGTCTCTTCCCAAACTGATGCCTCCCTGAAAACCTGGCGGCAGGGTGGCTGGCAGAGCCCCATTTCCATACCCAGGAGGGGCTGCTGCTTCCTACCCCCCATCCAGCTGGAAAGTGAGAACTGTTGTCTGTGGTGACTGATTGCTCCCTAGATGTGCTTGCTCAGAACTTTGTATGTGAGGTTTGCTTTTGTATTTATTTATTTTTTATTTTGTGGTGCTGGGGATCAAATCCAGAGTCTCTCGCATTGCTGGGCAAGTGCTCTACCACTGAGCTACATCCCCAGGCCATATTTGGGGTTTTTTTTTTTTAGAGCAAGAGCATGTCTGGGCTAATTAGAGGATATTTGGCAACTAGATTGCAGTGTCTGTGTTCACTGCTGTGAATTAACCAGTGATTATGTTGGTGACAGTAGAGACCGTTAGCTGATGTTTGCTGTGTGCCAGACACTGTGTTTAGAGCTTTACATACTGTACCACATGGATAATAATCACCCACCGAGCGCTTATGTGTCTGCTGCCATGATGGGACTTCACATTTAGTCAGCAATCCTGGGTAGGTACCATAATCATCCCTATTTTCTGTGAGGAACCCAAGGCTCAAGAGAGGCAAAGCGACTGGCTTAAGCTCACGCAACAAGTGGCAGAGCCATGATCTGAACCCACATTGGACCGTGGGCCTGGGTGTTTTACCAGTGGTGACTTCCTACCTCTCTAGCAAAGGCTGATTACTGTCCCTTAGGTCTTCAGAGGACATGGGGAAGGCGCATCCCCCCACTGAGGCACACTACCTGTGAGGAGAGGAGGCAGGCTCTCTCAGGCAAATTGCCCTGCGTAGAATGCGATTAAGTGGGCTCTTTTCCCCGGGGAGCTCAGCTGTCTGCTGCAGGGGAGGGCAAGGGCTTAGAGGCTGGCTTTGGGACTCTGACAGTGTCCCATTCAGTAGTGGTGGATTGGCCCGGAGTGCATCCTCCCCTTAGTCCGTCCTCCTTCCTTGGTATTCTGGGGATGTCAAGTAGCTGTGTGACCTTGGATGAGACACTTCTCTCTGAGGCTGCACTCATAGCTGGGGAAAGCTTGATCCTAGATGCAGGGGCCTCTCCTGCCTCGGAAGCTCAAGACACTTAACTGTTGTTTCACTTCAACTCCAGCAAAAGCGAGGCAAAGCAGTCATACATCCATGTGACCTAAAATTCTCACCATACAACTGAAGTAAGCTTTAGTTGGTCCCAAGGTTGTGGGTTATTGTTAAACTGAAGTAAGCTTTAAAATGTCTGAAGAGATACATGTTCACATTTCAGAGGATTGGGTTCCTTTTTCCCTGTGCTTGAGAATAAAAATCTGCTTTATTGAAGAACTGGAGTTTTCCCCACACAAGAAAAGACCTCGAGAAGTCATCTAGCCTGGTTTACCCAGGACTGGAGCCAGATCAGGGGAATGGTGTCCCTCCTCAAAGGCTTCCTGGAGGAGGAGCCTCGAAAGATCCCTTGGTTGCTCACTGCAAGAATTCCCATGCTCTGCCCGGAAGAGCGTGGTCTAAACTGAGTGAGTCCTTCCGGGTCACCACCTCCATGAACTCTTCCTGGCTGCCCCTGTGATGTTGCCTGGGTCATTTCCACTCATCCCCAGCAGCCCACCTCTCCTGGGCTCTCTGCCTTTGACTTTCCAACTGGGCTTAGCCAGAAGATGGGAACTACCCCGGGACTGTGGTCCACGCTGGCCTCCTTTCCTCAGGCTCTTGTATTACCTACTGCTCCCTCTCCTCTTGCCTTCTCAGCTGGGGTGGTGGACAGCATCTTGCATTCTCGAATCCATGATGCTCTTAACACCCATCTGAGGGCAGCAGGGCCCCATCCACAGGGGCAGTTCTAAGACCCCTGTGGAAGCCTGACACCAGGAGTAGTTCCCAGTGCTGCACATGCTGCTTTTTCTACTGTATGCATGGTTTATATGGTAGCGTTTAGTTTATAAATGGTGCAGGAAGAGACTAACTACAGTAACTGTTAAAATACTAGGATAATTGTAACAAGATACTATAATACACTTCATATAAAAGTTATAAATTGTTTATGTCTGGAATTTTCCATGTACTATTTTCAGATCGAAGTTGAATTCAGGTCATTGAAACAGCAGGAAACAAAACCATGAGTAAGAGGCACTGCTGTACCTTTACCATGCTGAGGACACAGTGACCCCACCCCATCATCTCTCCTCCACCCTCTTCAAAGTTCCCTCATTGCACATAAATCAGCATGTAAATATCTCCACTGTGGATTGTCCTCTTCCTGCTCTGGATGTTAATCACCCTGAGGACAGGGATGTTTCTGGTCTTGCTCATGGCTCTATCCCAAGTGCCTAGGACAATGCTTGGCCTGGGGTGGGTGAGCAAAACGCATTGGCAGGGCAGGCTGGTGGTGTAGCTCAGTGGTGAGTATTCGCCTACCATGCATGAGAACCTGGGTTCCAGTTCCAGCACCACAAAACAACAACAACAACAACAACAACAACAACAACAACAACAACAACAACAACATCTCACTATTACCCCCAAGAACAAAACCCATGTTGGCTGGGTGAATGTCAGTGAGAGTAGCATGGCCACATGCTTCTCCGTGGGTTGCAGTGACTGAGCCACTTCTTGGCCTGGCTGTGTTCTGGTGGTCATGGTGGGGAGGAAGAGCTCCCTGGGGTAGCCCTCCTCTCCTGCCAACTCACTGAGTGCTCCTCTGAAAGTCACCTGCCCCTTGTAGGCACCAGTCGCTGCCCTGTAAAAGGTAGGGTTGAATCAGGACAGTTGTCCTTAACAGGGTGAGTTCCCCCCTCCCCCAAGGGGACATTAAACAATGTCTGAAGACATTGAGGTTTGTTACAGCTGGGTGGGAGCTACTGGCATCTAGTGGGTGGGCCAGGGGTGCTGCTGAAGACCCTACAGTACACAGGATGGTCCCCCGAAAGAGAGGATTTCCTGACCCAAAGGTCAAGGTCAAGAAACCCCAGATAGGGAAGTCTCTAAGGCCTGTCAAAAACTTCTTGGTTGCTCACCTGTGTTAAAGTTGCCCTTGTACCTTTTGCAGGGTCTCTGTACCTGAGACCTGGGCCAAGTTCAGCAACAACATCAGGCACTCTCAGAACACGCGGGCCAACTCCATCCAGCTTCGGGAGGAGGCTGAGCACCTCTTTGAGAACCTGTTGGATCAGATGTGGAAGCAGTTCACAGACACCAATCTGGCCTTCAACACTCGTATCTCTGAGGAGACGGACGTGAAAAATAAACTGCAGACGCAGCTGGCTAAGGTGAGCGATGGCTCTGAGTACCAGTGTCCCCTCGCTAAGCCCTCACCTCGCTCACATGGGTCTTAGCAGCACTTGATAGCTTCTCTCGTCCTGAGCTGAAATGGTCCTGTTCATTCCAGGGTCTGAGATCATATCCACCCCAAAAGGGGACAGGGACTGTGAGCTTTTTGGGGGATTCATGGTTCCCTTGCTCACTGATAATAGAGCTTGAAGCTTGGCTTGCTGTTGCCATGGGATCCAAGAGGCTTTCAACACCCTTTGTTCTCATCTGAGGACCATGTGGCTCACCTGACCAGGCACCCAGCAGAGTACATCCCCGCTGGCCCCAGCAGATCTCTGCCTGTACCAGCCTCCCCAAAGCTTCTGCCGTCCTCTCTGCATGGGCTCTGTCCTCCCTGATCAACACAAATGCAGAGTCCCTCCTGGCTGCGAGGCTGTGCTGGGCTCTAGGAATAAAAGGAGTCACATGAACGTGCTCCCTGTCCTCACGTGACTTACATTCTGGTTGGGGAGCAGCGATGGCTATGGGATTTGCACAGAAGGGACTTAGGGTTCCAGGCTGGCCAGGGAAGCAGCCCCGAGTCTTTATTTGCAAAGAGCACCTCTTTTGATGGAGCAGGAAGCTTACTGGGCTGCAGATGGGGCTGGATGGAAATGACAGGGCAGTTTATGCCCACACACATCTGCCACTGTTTGGCCTGGGCCTGCAGGAGGCAGACAAAACCAAAGTTTCTATCAAACACTTGCAAGGTGTAACTGGTGTCATGAGGGAAGCAGTGAGGGGATGAGGCTGATGCCTCTGGGACCTGTGCCAGCTGAGTAGGCAGGTAGGGATGTTTCCATCAAGAACAGATCAACTCACCACCTGCTGTGCAAGCGCAAGGACCCGAGTTCGATCCCCAGTACCAAAAGAAAAGAACAGATTGACTGAGTGAGGCAGCTGCAGCAGGGGGAATGTATTCCAGGGTCTAGGCTGCAGCTGAAGGAAGTGACAGGACCAGCTCATGGGACCCTGGTAGGTCCTGGTGAAGGGATGGGGGTTTCTGTCAGAGACAGTGGGGGGCCTTCAAAGGGCTTAAAGGGGGAAGGCATTGGGATGCAGTTTCATCTTTGGGTTGATCTCTTTTTGTCTTGGGTGGCAGAAGGTTGCAGGGGTCAATTTGCACTGAGGGATGGCATCAGATGGGACAGGAAACGGGGAGATGTGGACTTCCTGAGAAGGCAGAGTTGGCACATGTGCCTTCCCTCTGGGCTTCATGGAGACCTTCCTGTGTGTCCTCTGGAACAGACTTAGCAAACTTTTTTTTTGTAGAGGGTCAGACAGTGGCTATTTCCAGCTCTGCAGGCCATATGGTGGCCATCACAATGACTCAGTTCCACAGATGTATCACAGAAGCAACTGTAGACATTACGTACATAAGCCAATGTGGCTGTCTTTTGGTACAACTTCATTTACAACAGGCAATGGGTTGGATTTGCCCTGCCCTTGCTCTGGAACTTAGTTCACAAGTCACTTTCTCCAGGAACCTTTCCTGACCCCTGCAGTTCATTTGCAGTCACCACTTCTGGGAGCCACTGCTTCCCAGGACTGTGTTTATCCCCTGTACCTGGGTCTGTGGGCAAAAGCCTGGCCTCTGAGATGAACTTCTTGGGTACCAATCCTCTGCACCCTGGACAACTTTCTTCACCTCCTTGTGCCTCATTTTCTTCTTTGTAGAGTGGGGATAAGGATGGATCCAGCTTCGGGGCTCCCATGATGACTGGGCCTGGTACACAGTGAGCACCATGTCTCTGCCAGTGGCTGTGACTTTACTGTTTGTGTTGACTCACTCATCTGAGCTCTTCAGAGCATCTTGATTCAGTCCTGCACCCGGATGCTTAGCACAACACCCGGCTCTCCCAAAACCTTTGTGCAGTGAATGAAGGGAATCTACAAGGCTGAGTTTTGTGCTGGTGTATGAATTGATACATAGTGATATGTGAATTGATGAATGCTTTTAATGTCACATTTCTTTGTGTGAAAAAAATTTTTGCTAAAATATATGTGGCATAAAAGTTAGCATTTAACCACTTTTTAAAAGTGTACAGATCAGTGGTGTTAAGTATATTCACATTGTTGTGCACCCATTGCCACTATCTATTGCCAGCGCTTTTTTTTTGGTACCGGGGATCGAACTCGGGTCCTTGTGCTTGCGAGGTAGGCGCCGGAACCACTGAGCTAAATCCCAGGCCCTCCCCAGAAGCTTTTTTTAAAAATTTTTTAAAAATTAATTTTTTTGGTACATTTTAGGTATACAATATAATGACATTCATCATTGGAAATTTGCACCTTTACATAATCTCTCTTGGTTCTTATTTTTCCCCCTTCCCCTGCCTTCCCTTCAACCTCTCCCTCCCTTCCTATTTACAAAGACTTTGTTTCCATTTTTTCCTTTTCTCATATTTTTTCCTTTACCTTCTTTCCTTTCCCCTACCCCTCCCTCTTCCCCTTCCCCTTTGCCCCTTTTCTTCCTATTTCACATTATCTATTATACCTCTTAATCCTTATTTACACTTTCAGTTTCTCACACTAGAGAAACTGTAATTTGTAATAGCTAAAACTTGGAAGCAGCCCAATTGCCCATCAACTGGAGATTGGATAAAGAAAATGTGGTTTTTAAAAAATAAAATAGAGTACTACTCAGCCATAAAGAATGAGAAACTAGAGACATTTATAGCTAAATGGATGCACATAGAGGCCATACTCTTAAGTGAAATAAATAGGACTCACACTCCAGAGCTTTTTTGATCTTCACAAGTTGAACCTCTTTACCCATTAACATAACAGTAATTTCCCTTTATCCTCCTTCCAGCCTTCCATTCTACTTTGTGTTTCTGTGAATTTGACTCCTCCAGGTAGCTCATGAAGTGGAATCAGAGGGTATTTGTCTTTTAAGGACTGGCTTATTTCATTTAGCGTAATGTCTTCAGGACCCATACACTTGTGTCAGAATTCCCTTCCTTTGTAAAGGCAGAATAATGTCCCACTATCTGCATGTGCCACATTTTGCTTATCCACTCATCCTCTATGGCCACTTAGGTAGCTTCCACCTTCTGGCTTTCTTTCGTGGGGCATTTCACATGGTGGAAGAAATACAATGCATTGTCAAGTTCATGCCATGGAGCGGAGTTTGCAGTGTGAGGATGACTGGAAGGCTCCTTGTGTGGCGTGGTGGTAACTAACATTCTTGTCTGTGAAACAGGGCATAAGAATTCCTACCTGCAACATTCTGTTCCTTGTGAGCATTGATGAGTTGATATCATGGTATTTTTAGAATAGTGCTTGTTGGAAGGTAATTTAAGTATTGATATTATTAGCAGTGGGGAAAAAATCTTTTGGGTGGAGGTAGTTGAGCAAAAACCTTTTCCCTTTCAAAATTTCTCTGGGGAAGTTTTGAGTTATTACTAAGAGCCTTATCACTGCTGATCAGAGGGTTTCTGTCACCTCATAGATTTTTATTAATAGTCACTACTTAACACCAGCTGGTTTGCAAATGAGCAACAGCATATGGAAGACATCAAACCCCCATATGACACCACTGACATTTGCCTGAGCAAGGATTTGTCTTCTGGTTGGTGACTGTCTCACATAGTGTTTTTCTAAGATATAATAAAAGGTGATGTAATGAAGATAAGTATAGAGCAGCCACTTCACCTTTCAATAGCTTGCTTTGACTGGAGGATTTCAAATGCTCTCTTTAAATTTTTAACTGTTATCAGTTGAACTCAGCTTGATGCCTCTTGGCAAGAGGTGTTTCTGGAAAATTCCAAGCACCTGTCCTCACTTAAACTGCAAAGCAGCGATTTCCCAAGTGATCATGGGAACCTATTTAGTAAGGCCAGATCTGCACAGTTCCCCGTGTAGGCAGTAGTTCAGGCTGTGGAGTTTCATCCCTAAAGCCATTTCCTAGTCCTGGAAAATGCCCTGGTGCCTCATCATCTCAGGAGTGCTTTGAGGCCCAGGGGTATCTCCAGTCATACCAGGGCTGCAGGCTTCTGAACTGCAGCAGCTGAGGACCACAGATGGGAGCTGGCCGAGAACCAGGGCCCTGGGAGCTCCAGAGAAACAACCCCCACTACATCCAATGTCCAGCTGAATGTGCATTGGGGAGGGCTCTTACTGTGAGGGAAAAGATGCACAAAAAATACCTTTTGGGGAAAGATGTTTGGAGGAGAAACATTTGCTTCCTTAGAAAGTGCTTATTCTAAAGATATGGGAACCAGTTCCTGGCAGGCAAAAAGACATTAGATGCATTACATAGATGGAGCATTAATATCACTGAATCACACAGGGAGAAAGTTGTTCCTTCTTTGATTCTTCTGCACCATTGTGGGTGGGTGCAAGGTCCTGGGATCCCCTCTCACCTCCTGAACACCCACCCATATCCCTTTACACGGAGAGGCCACCTTGGGCTGAGGACTTTAGGCAGGTGACAGTATCCAGCCAGAGTTAAAATAGCATGCTTTTACTTTTGTCTTGTTTCACGCATTTTTTTCCCCACTTATGGCAAATAGTGCTTGGCTTTTCACTGATAATAGTGATACAAACTTTCATTTTTAAATGCAGTTTTTTGTTCCTTTTTTTTTAAAGTGAATTGATCTGAAGAAAAGGTGATAGTAATGATGTTACCAGGGATACAGGTTATGGCAGAAGTGGTGAGAGTGGTCCTGGAAAATAGCAGCATAGAGCTGCGTGTTCATTACTGCATGTGCAGCTATCACCATGGCACCCGGGGGATTTTGTTAAAACACAGATTCTGGTTGAGCAGGTCCGGATTGGGCCTAAGAATCTGCATTTGGAGCAGGCTCCCTTAGGATGCTGATTCTCTGATAGGGAGTAGCTAGAGTATAGATTATAAAAATGTGTTGGCTTTGACAAACATCTGGGTAAGCAGCTGTCCTCTCCCCTCTCCCCCTCTTTCCCCCTCTTTCCCAGATTCAAAATACTGGAGGAACCAAAT